CCCACATGGCTGACTGCAGCTCAAATCCTAGCCCAGTAGCTTCAACACGCCAAGCATGGAGAGATGGAGGATGGGATTTCAGTACCATGCCACATTGGGGATATTTTCTTTCCCTCCTCTCTCTGGCCACATGTGCCCTCTGACAACTTTTTAAAAAAGAATATTAGCTCTTAATCTCATGTTTGTCAATATGAATTTTCCAGGTTGAGACTAATTTCAAAGGCTTTGATTCCATTAAGAATGTAAGAATCTTTTTAAATGTGAAACATGGCGAGACTTCCTTTTCTCTCATCACTAAACTGATAGGCTAAAGGCATGAGTGGATTTCTTCTGAAACATTAACTGATTTTCAAAACGTTAGTAAGTTGGATCTGTCATATCTAAGTACACAGACATCCCAAGTATTAATAAAACAACTAAAACAAAGGTGGTAATGATGTAGTTGTTTATTTCAAACATAATTTTTAAATGGGGAAAATTTTTCAATACAAGAGTAGAAATAGGATTCCAGAGAAAAACATTCCAGGGTACTATAGTTCTTTGTGAATAGAGAAACGTTGATGAGAATGTTGTCCACATTGTATTCATCTAGTTCATTGATTTTATTGTGTGGCCCACAAGGTCAAATGAAAGGTACATTACAGATGGTTGTATTATAAACCTGACCTTAAGAATCCTCTACCAAGAGAATGTTTAAGGCCTATGTCCAACCTAGTAAAAAGCCTCTAAATCTTGAATCACTTTAAAAGTGTAGAGAATAGAGTATACACAAGTATGTCTTGTAAAACACAACACAATGAGAGGCTTGTATATATATATATATATATTTATATATCTCCAAAATGGTATTTCCTGTTTATAGAACATGAATAGCTAACAGGACCAAACTAAGTCACAAGAAAGAGTTGATGTGGGGGCCAGCAAGTATTGTAGTGGTTAAGGTGCTAGACTCCCACAGTTCAAGTCCTGGACCTGGCAGTACGCTTTCTCATTTTCCCTTTCAACTCTCTGGTGAGTGCACATGCCATGTAGCAATTAAAAATAATGATACATAAATTTAAATAGTTCTTTAAAAAGAAAAAATCTTGATGTGAAGCCCAGTACATTTCTTAATTATTTATCTAATTTTACTTATAACTTTTAAATTTGCTACAGAGGATGCACACTTACTAGAGAGAGGAAAATGGGAAAGCAAGCCACCAAATCCCAGGATTTGAGCCATCATGCCACCTGCTGGCCCCCTCCCAAAACTTTTTTTTCTTAGATTTTTGCTATAGGGCACGTGCACTCACAAGCAGGAGATGGCCGCTCAGCAATCCCTTCATTCTCTTCTCCATACTTGAAGCATGCACACACACGCACCCACCGTGAGTTTTAAATCACCAGGTTGGGGACTCGAACCATAGTCAACTGAGGGAGTCCAACAGTGTAACCATTACACCATCAACTGGTCCCCTGCCCAAAACATTTTTATTCTACTCTTCAACAGTTCTTTTGAAACCTTCATTGAAGTTTGGCTTTTTGCTATTACATAGAGCTAAGTTGTAGAACTAGTGCTCCACTGTGGTTCCTATTGTAGAAGGCTAGCATCACCTGAGAACCCAATAAAAATGCAAATATTTGTATCTCATTGCAAATTTATTGATAAATAAACTCAGGGTGGGACCCAGCAATGCTGTAAGCCCTCCAGGTAGTTCTGGTACATTCCACTCAGCTGGAGAACCACCGAAGTAGAGCTGGCTTTCAGCTCCTGCATTTTTACTGGTCACTAAAAAGAGGACTAGAATGGTCTGGAGTAGTAAGCTCTGATAGTATTTTTCATCCCATAAAATCTTTTAATACTGTAGTTGGATTAAAACTACCTAATATACAGAGAAAAAGAGAAAAAAAAAAAAAAAAAACAGATGGGTGGGTAGGAGTGATAGGAAGAACAGAGCCTCAGAGACCTGTGGTGCTATTACAAAAAATCTAATATAGGAGTTGAAAAGTTACTCCTAGAAATAGTGACTGAAAACTCGAGATTTGGCCAGAGACACAAACTATAGAATTCAGTAACAAAACAATTATACAAGACCAAGTGAGGTTCTTTGTGTAAAAGCAAGGCTGGTTCATTATTTTAAAATCAATGTAATCTACCTTATTAAAGAAGAAAAAAAATCCCATCTTTATAGTAATTAATTCAGAAAAAATGTACCAAAATTCAACACCTCTTCTCAATAAAAGCTATCAAAAAAAAAAACAGGAATAGGGGAGAACTTCCTCAACTTGATAAAGAGCATCCACAAAAAGCCTACAGCTAATGTCATATCTAACCATGGAAGACTAAATACTTTCCCTCTAATATCAGGGAAAAGGCAAGGAAATCTGGTCTCATTCTTCTTATTTAACAGAGTGCTAGAAATTTTAGCCAGTGCAATAAGGCAAGAAAAGAAAATAAGAAGCATATAAATCTGAAAGGAAGAAATAAAACTGTCCTCATTTGCAGATGATGTGATTACACAGAAAATTCTAAGGAATCAACAACAACAAAAAAATAGAACCAAAAAGTAACTAATAAATTCCTGTCTTTGTTTAAGTGAATATGAGATGGGTTTCTATCACATGTAACTGATACATTTATTTATTCTAACATCCATGTTTATTAAAGGCTTAAAAGTTGCCAGCATCTGCTTCAGACAATAGTAACACATCAGCAGATAAAAAGTTTTTACTCTCAAGGGAAGTAGTAAGAGGTGTAAAAAGTTGAGGCCAGCAGATGACATAGTGGTTAGGTCACTGGACTCCCATGTAGTCGACTATAGTTCAAATCCCAGACATGGTGACTTAAAACTCACACCAGCCACGTGTGCATATGTGCCTAAAATCCCAAACATTAAGAATGTAAGAATCTTTTTAAATGTGAAACATGGCGAGACTTCCTTTTCTCTCATCACTAAACTGATAGGCTAAAGGCATGAGTGGATTTCTTCTGAAACATCAACTGTGATTTTCAAAACGTTAGTAAGTTGGATCTGTCATATCTAAGTACACAGACATCCCAAGTATTAATAAAACAACTAAAACAAAGGTGGTAATGATGTAGTTGTTTATTTCAAACATAATTTTTAAATGGGGAAAATTTTTCAATACAAGAGTAGAAATAGGATTCCAGAGAAAAACATTCCAGGGTACTATAGTTCTTTGTGAATAGAGAAACGTTGATGAGAATGCTGTCCACATTGTATTCATCTAGTTCATTGATTTTATTGTGTGGCCCACAAGCTCAAATGAAAGGTACATTACAGATGGTTGTATTATAAACCTGACCTTAAGAATCCTCTACCAAGAGAATGTTTAAGGCCTATACCTAACCTAGTAAAAAGCCTCTAAATCTTGAATCACTTTAAAAGTGTAGAGAATAGAGTATACAATGTCTTGTAAAACACAACACAATGAGAGGCTTGTATATATATATATATATATTTATATATCTTCAAAATGGTATTTCCTGTTTATAGAACATGAATAGCTAACAGGACCAAACTAAGTCACAAGAAAGAGTTGATGTGGGGGCCAGCAAGTATTGTAGTGGTTAAGGTGCTAGACTCCCACAGTTCAAGTCCTGGACCTGGCAGTATGCTTTCTCATTTTCCCTTTCAACTCTCTGGTGAGTGCACATGCCATGTAGCAATTAAAAATAATGATACATAAATTTAAATAGTTCTTTAAAAAGAAAAAATCTTGATGTGAAGCCCAGTACATTTCTTAATTATTTATCTAATTTTACTTATAACTTTTAAATTTGCTACAGAGGATGCACACTTACTAGAGAGAGGAAAATGGGAAAGCAAGCCACCAAATCCCAGGATTTGAGCCATCATGCCACCTGCTGGCCCCCTCCCAAAACTTTTTTTTCTTAAGAGATTTTTGCTATAGGGCACGTGCACTCACAAGCAGGAGATGGCCGCTCAGCAATCCCTTCATTCTCTTCTCCATACTTGAAGCATGCACACACACGCACCCACCGTGAGTTTTAAATCACCAGGTTGGGGACTCGAACCATAGTCAACTGAGGGAGTCCAACAGTGTAACCATTACACCATCAACTGGTCCCCTGCCCAAAACATTTTTATTCTACTCTTCAACAGTTCTTTTGAAACCTTCATTGAAGTTTGGCTTTTTGCTATTACATAGAGCTAAGTTGTAGAACTAGTGCTCCACTGTGGTTCCTATTGTAGAAGGCTAGCATCACCTGAGAACCCAATAAAAATGCAAATATTTGTATCTCATTGCAAATTTATTGATAAATAAACTCAGGGTGGGACCCAGCAATGCTGTAAGCCCTCCAGGTAGTTCTGGTACATTCCACTCAGCTGGAGAACCACCGAAGTAGAGCTGGCTTTCAGCTCCTGCATTTTTACTGGTCACTAAAAAGAGGACTAGAATGGTCTGGAGTAGTAAGCTCTGATAGTATTTTTCATCCCATAAAATCTTTTAATACTGTAGTTGGATTAAAACTACCTAATATACAGAGAAAAAGAGAAAAAAAAAAAAAAAAAACACTAGTGGGGCCAGCCCTTAGCAAGTGGCTAAGCACTGCAGAGGAAGCTGGATTCCACGTGGCTTACTGGGGTTCGAAACCCAGCCCTAGAGGCAGCACACACAGCACACACATGCACACCCAGCATTCTGACTTGATGGAGGTTGTATCATGACCAGGCCCTGTTGGGGGTGCTTGCTCTTTCTCCCTCTCCCTTCCCTCATGTCAACACACACACACTATCATGAATAAAAGGGAAAAAAAATTAACTAATAGGCCTGAAATGGCAGGTTCTGATTTTTTTCTTCCAGTAAAAAAAATGTTTTTTAATGCTATAGTTGCAACTGAAACTACCTAGTGTGTCTGATGTTCTGATAATCTGTTTTGGTTTTGATGAAGCAATTTCAGATGCCCTACTAGAAAATCAGATCTGACACAACATTTTGAGTTGGTATTCTTATACGTAAAAATAAATCTCATTGCAAAACAAGACTACAAATGATACAAATTAAATTATTAGTATTTACCAGTATTTATCACATACATAAACTATTCCCTACAAACTGCCTTCATTAAAATCACAATATAAGCCTCAACATATTTGTTAAAATTTTTTAAAAGGTGATACTTTGACAAATCAAGAGTTTAATCCCTGCCTCTATATCAATCAAATATACATTGGCAGTTTTATCAGCACATTAATATTCAAAACTAGTAGGGAAGAAATCACTCTTACTAAGAATCAATGTTTTCTTAAACATTTGTTAAGTAGTTACTCCCAAAATCTGGAAAAGGACTTTTTTTAAATAATCATACATGTTGACTTGGTTGCAGTGGGCTTTTGCCTGTTCTGGTTTATGGCTGCTATGACATTTATGATCTTTGTACAGTAGGTGTAAAACTGCTTCTCAAGTTTGGCTGCACATTAGAATCATTTGGGATGCCCTAAAGCCCAACATGGAATTCCAATGTGCGGCCAAGGTTGGGAACCACTGCTTTAAGATCTCAGCAACTAGTTTCTCAGCCAGAAGGCTACAATAACTTTGAACTTGAAGTATTTAAATATATTAATCTGAATATCCTGCTCTAGTGCCAGTGGCTCTGGAATTACCTATGTTGCCTGTGCTGTTAGACTGTCAGTACTGCTGCTTATTATCAAGATTACTACCAAAATTCTTGTTGATAGGACTCATGTCCTGCAAAATGATAATGAACTAAGTTTCTTAGGACTTTGAAGGCACTAAAAATCCTTTGTAGACATTATAACCCCCACATCAGTGATTCTCAATCCTAGCTGCACAATAGGAACTTTATAAAAAGCTACAATACTAAGGTTCTATCCTCTATCCATTAACCGTAACCCTCTGGTTGGGGTGGGGGGGGGGGGAATCTATCAATATTTTGAAAGGCTCCTCAAGTGAGGATTTAATAGAATGCCAATTTCTTAATTCAGTAGCCCATATGTGCTTTTCATTTTACTTACGATTTTTATGAGACATGTAAGTCTTAAGGTTATACCACTAAGACTCATGAATTTCACCCTTAACAAAATCGAGACAGAAGCAATCAAAGATAACATTGTGAAAGTCAAGGCTTTAGGCATGGGCACATTTACTTCATAAATGAACGCAATTACTCGGCCAGGCATACGGCACCAGCTCCCAACGTTTTAGCGACCGAAGATGACATCTAGCTGTGAAGCTCAAAAGAATTAATCTCTAAGAGGTCCTTAAATTCTTTCTCAACTGCTTATCTCAATAAGCTGTAGGTTTGGATCCAAACCCAGGACCCCATCCCCAGATGTACTGAATCAGAGTCTGTGTGAGAGAGGAGCTTGAGAATCCACATTGTTAAACTCCAGATGATCCCTATCATCAGACACATTTGGGAAACACTACTACTGGATACTGAAAGAATAGTTAGGAAATTGTGGAGATGGTGTAAGTGCAACAGTTATTCCTTTACACTTACTTAGAACCTTGTATTTTGTTATGACCCACAAGGATTACTTTTGTTAAACAATGATAATGGCAAAATATCTGATTCAAAGTCACCTCTGCTCAGATACCGTTCTTGTTTGCCAATGATACTTAAAACTAGGAGGGGAGGAAGAAAAGATAGTGTTAACTTCACAGCTCAGTTTTCAGTTTTTCATATAAGCCGTCTTGGTCAATCATGTCTGTGTGCCCATTCCAGCGGTGATAGGCAAGGAGTGCGGCATTGTGGGCTGCAATGGCACTCATTTCCATGGCACTTGCTGCACACTCTATGCCATTGAGGTAATAAAGTCGATCGTGGAGTATGATGGAGGGGCACTTCTCTGGGGGCTTATAATGAGGATATGCAAGCCATGCCTTCTTCACGGCATAATCATAGGACAAAAACAGCTTTAAGATTTGCGCTTTAGTAAGAGTTTCTTGGGAAAAGATCTTCCAAACATTTGTCCCATCTGTTGATGGTACAGGATTATCCTTTCCTCTTACAGGAGCCACGATCCCAATGCTATTAATGAACAAATCTGAACTATCAGTGGTTAACACTGTAGTGAGGCCAAACTTATTAATGGGCCTAGTGCTAAAAATAGATGTATTCAATTCCCCCTTAACTAAAGTTGTCACTATATGCTGGTAGTATTGATGGAATTCTTCAACTGGAGGATCAAAGTTGAGAAAAGTTATATTAGACATTTTTCTATTCAAGGGAGTGGCCACCAAGACAATGTCATAAAAGTCAGAATGGGTCTCAGATGCAGCTTGATAGACCACTTCATACATCTTTGTGGGGTTTCCTGGAAGGAATAAGGAAGCACACATGTCTTCAGTACTATATTTTACACTTTCTAAAAGTTTAATTCTATATCTTGTTTAAAAAGTTTCTCAGCAGGTGGCACAGTGGTTAAAGGCACTGGATTCCCACATGGCTGACCATGGTTCAAATCCCAGACCTGGTGGCTTGCTTTCTCCCTCTCCCTTTCTCTCTCTGGTCAAATTTAAAAATAATAATAACAAATGGAATTAAGTAAATAAATCTTTTTTTAAAAGAATTTTTATTTAGCTTTATTATTATATCATTATTATTTTCTAGTTTGATCAGAGAGACACAGAGAGAGAGAGAGAGGAAGTGATAAAGCAAGCCACCACGTCCGAGACTTGAACTGTGGTTGGCCATGTGGGAGTCCAGCGCCTTTAACCACCATGCCACTTGCCGGTCCCAAGAAAATAAATCTTTTAAAAAAAGTTTCTCTATCCTAAGGAATTAAAGGAATTTTTATCTCAAAATAACTGCCACTTGCATTTTTATTACACTGAAGCCTGTTTTTCTATTCGGAATATCAGTAAGTACAAAGCATAGAATTTTTACTTTTTGAGGATGAAATTACTTTTTTAAGTCCAAGGAGTGTGCCACTGCAATGTGAGCACACTTTGGAAAATGTCTACATGGCTCAACACAGGCAATTGAAAAGTTCTGTTGCTTTAGAACTTGGCAAGAGGTAGCAGAAGAGAGGTTTTTCTCCTTGAATAATCATTTTCTAGAGGAGAAATTAGGAAGAATAAAAAAAAAATTCATGCTCACCTGTCCGCTTGGTTCTTGTCTTCTCCTCTATATACATTACTGAGCCAGGTATGAGATTACTTTTGGAAGCCTGAAGAAGCCCTGAGCAAACAAGCTTATTGCCACCTTCCACTGCCCAAAGGCCAGACTCAGCAGAGGACAGTGACACTGCCCCTATTAGTGAGAGGAAAAAAGTGTGTTTTAATTTGGAATCTGTAAGAGGCCCTCCACTCACTCTCCATTCTCAGTGAGAGGTTCTGTTCCAAATATCTCCACACATTGCTGAATGATCCTTGGGGGCAAAATCTCCACCAGTTAAGAAGTACAGAACTACTCAAAGCTATGAACCCTTTCACTCTAAAAATGCACATCCACATATACATAATTCTACTCACAATATCTGAGTTTCACAGAGCCATAGCCTAAAGGTAGGAGACACCAGAGAATCACCTAAGCCTCACTGTGAACTAATGTCCATTACTACTCCAAGCTCTGGCTTACCCACAAAGGCATTGATGTCCGTGCTTTGGCCGTAATTGACTCTCATGACAGGAGAAATCATTTCGTTGAGGAATTTCTCCGAGAAGCCTGCTTTCTGCAGGGTTTCAAGAAGTGTTCGGTTAAGCATTCCAAGGAAGTCATTCCCTCCTAGAGAATGTAGTAATTTTTCTACGCTACTGAAGGCATAGTCATGAGATTGGTAGCGGTAGATCCTTTTGGGAAGAAGAGAAATGGCCGTTAGACACCAAAGAAATGAAAGGGAAGCAAAAAGAAGGGAAATAGTGCCATAAGACTCAGACTTTCTTCCATATTTCCTTCTGATGCATTTCTACCAAACACGGGAGACACAATTCAGTCGCCCTCTTCCCCAAACTTCGCAGAAGCTCTTGGCCCTCCCCGCTCCTCCATTCCCTCTGTAAGTCCACTGTCCTTTATATACACTCTTCCTTTTCTGCATTAATATGGTCACTGGAGGCGAGCATATGGCACAGTGGTTGGGATGCTGGACTCCCACATGGTTGACCATGGTTTGAGTCCCAGATCTGGCAGCTTGCTTTCTCACTTCCCCTCTCTCTCTCTTTCTATGTCACTCTCTGCTCAGATTTAAATAAATACATAACAATGATGAATAAAATTAAGTAAAATAATTATTTTTTAAAAATATGGTCACTGGGGAACCAGCAGTTAGAGTAATGGCTATGTCGCTGGACTCCCACGTAGTCGACCGCGGTTCGCGTCCCGGACCCGGTGGCTTAGAACTCACGCCGGGCGCGTGTGCGTGCGTGCCCAAGATCCCGAGAGGAGAATGGAGGAGAAGGGATTGCGGCGTGACCATCCCCCCTGGGGGGTGATTTCTCGCTTTCTGTCTCTATGTCTCTCTCTGTCTGTCTGGCGAGCGCACACGCCCTATAGCGAAAATCTCTCAAAAAAAAAAAAATATATGGTCACTAGTAGCACCTTTAAAGAAATGGGATAAAAGAAGGGATTGTGGCATGATCATGCCCCACGGGCAGTGCCTTCTCGCTTGCTTTCTCTCTGGTGAGGGTACGTGCCTATGGCAAATCTCATCCTTCTTTGTATCTTCCAATAGTCCTGAGACATGTCTAAAATTAAGTTTTATCTTTCCATCAGGTTTGATCTTCATCTATCCCCTATCCCAACCAAAAATAAATGGCCACTCCAAACATCTTCCTATCATCCTAAACCCACTTAGTTTCAGAACTTAAACCCTTTTCACTTCTCCTTTCTGCCCCTCCTGTCCAAGCCAGAAACTCTGTCAATTTTCCTAACATTGTTCTCAATTCAGGATTTATACTCAAATTAGGAAAATGAATAATGGATCTACCTTCTTCTAGTTTATTTCTTTGAAATCTCCTAAAATATCTTGTCATCCATTTATTTTAAAAAGTCTTGCTTACAGTTAATCAAATCCAGATCATTTAGCCTGACCTTAAAAAAATAATAGGTTTTAGAGTCAAACTCATCTAGTCTAATTCCTTGATCTCATTTAGATAGAGAAACAGTCAAAAACCTTGTCTAAAGGCCCCAGAGCAAATAAAAGGCTCCAGCAGAACTTGTCCCCACTGCCCTCAATCACTCAGGCACACTCGTACCCTCCATCTGAGTATAGCAAACCCATTCACTGGTCTCTAAATATGCTTTATTGTCTCACCGTTGCACAAGCTCTTCCCTCATACTGCAATACACTTCCTATTCCTAACTACAGAACGTCTACACTTGCTTTAGACGTTTGTAGGAAAGTTTTGCCCAAACTCCCAGCCCACAGTGATTTATGTCATCCACTCTAAAAGTCCCAGAAAACTTAGCACTGGGACCAGCAGGTGGCATAGTGGCTAAGAGCGCTGCACTCCCACATGACTGACCACAGTTCAAGTCTCAGGTCCAGCAGCTTGCTTTCTCACTCTGTGTGTGTGTGTGTGTGTGTGTGTGTGTGTGTGTGTGACTCTTGCTCTGTCCCTCTCTAGTAAAATTAAAAATAAATAAAGTGATAGAAAATAATTCTTTTTTTTTTTTTAAGAGGTTTTTGCTATAGGGTGCATGGGCTTGCCAGAAAGACAGAGAGAGACAGAGACACAGAAAGCGAGAAATCACTCCCCCACGGGGGATGGCCACACCGGAATCCCTTCTCCTACATTTTCTTCTTGGGATCTTGGGCACTCACGCACAAGCGCCCGGGGTGAGTTTAAGCCACTAGGTTCCAGGACTCGAACCGCAGTTGACTACGTGGGAGTCCAGCAACATAGCCATTATGCCAATTGCTGGTCCCTATATTATTTATTTTATAGAATATATCACCTGACATCTCTCTGCACTTTATGGATTTAAAAGAACATTCACATATATTAATGCAAATGGCAAGTCAATATTTTTTTCTTTTCTTTTTTTTTTTTTAGTTTGCTATAGGGCATGTCTTCTTGCTAGAAGAAAGAAAAACAGAGGGAAAGTGAGAAATCACCCTCCAGAGGATATGGCTACACTGTAATCCCTTCTCCTCCATTTTCCTCCCAAGATTTTGGGCACACATGCACACATGCCAAGTGTGTTTTCAAGCCACTGGATCTGGACCCAAACCATGCAGTCAGCCACATAGGATCCAGCCACTTAATCCTCCGCACCACCTGCTGGCCCGTAATACATAATATTTCCAACTACAAGTGGTACCAAAAAAAAGACAGTTCCTTTCTCTAAAGGTGCTTACAGTTAGGGACAAGTAATAAGGCACATGCACAGACACGTGCCCGAAACAGAAGAGGAAGTAGTGCCCAGGAAAGGTCCTTAACAGTGATCATGGGAAACAAGTTTTTTACAGTTTCCTCTCTCAAAATAAACTCTAGGGCCAGGCAGTAGTGTGGAAGTTAAGGTGCTGGATCCCACACAGCTGACTGCACAGTTTGAGACCTAGACTTGGCTGCTTGAAAAACACTCAAAAAGCACATGTGCATGCATGTCCAAAATCCTGAGAGGAAAATGGAGATGGGATTGCATTCCCCCTGGAAAGTGTTTTCTGACTTTTCCTTCTTCTCTCTCTCTGTCTCTCTCTGGTGTGTGCATGCAACCTCTAACAAACTAAAAGAAAAAAATAAAAGAACCAGTCCCAAAGCCTAGTGGTTAAGGAGCTGGAACCCACATGGCAGACCACAGTTTGAATCCTGGCAGCAACCTGAAAATCACACTGGGTGCTTGTGCATATACACTCAAAATCCCAACAGGATGGGGAAATGGAGAAGGGATTGCAGTGTGACTATGCCCCATTCAGGAGATATCTTCTCCTTTCTCTGGAAGTCTCTGGAAAGCACATATGCCCTCTGGCAATTAAAAAAGAAAAGAATGAGATAAGGACTCTGGAGTAAAGGCATCCAGCCAGAAGAACTGCATAACCGAATACTCGGAAGTTGAGGTTAGCATGGCTAGTGAGGATGCCAAGGGCTGCAAATTCCCACCAAAGCCTGTCCAATAGCAAAGAATGGATGTATGCCCCGAGAGCTAGGGGGTGGCCCACCACAAGCTTGAACCCTCTTTCCAGTAGCTGGCATGGTTCACTGCTGTTTCTTGGACCTTCATTCGCACTGTGTACAATCTGAAATGAAGGCCTAAAAAAATGACACACCTCCTCAAGCTGGTCAGCAAATCCCCAAAAGTTTCTGCAGATCCAACTAGGCCAACTAGATATAGCGTATACTGTCAAAACGTAATAATCCTTTTTGAGCCAATACTTTAGGTTTCTATATTGTTCAAAGAAAGAAAAGCTCAAGGATATCCTACAATTGTACATTTAAAGCCAGCAATTCTCAACTCTAGCTAAAGGTGAGATTCATTTGATACGCTTTTATTTTATTTTTCTAATAATTATTTATTTTTAATTTTATGTATTCATTTATTTTAATCTGACCAGAGAGAGACCGAGAAAGAGAGATAGAAAGTGAGAAAGCAAGCCACCAGCTCCAGGACTCAAACCGTGGTCAGCCATGTGGGAGTGTCCAGTGTCTTAACCACCACGCCACCTGCTGGCCCCAATATATGCTTTTAAAAATATGAATGCCCACACCCCTATCCTACAATACTTAAATCAAAATCTCTAGGGGTGGGGCTCACATTCATTTTTGCTTTTTTTTTTTTTTTTCTCTTCCATTCTCCTCTCGGGATCTTGGGCACGCATGCACACGCACCCAGTGTGAGTTTAAGCCACTAGGTCCGGGACTCAAACCACGGTCAACTACAGGGAAGTCCAGCGACATATCCCTTATGCCAACTGCTGGTCCCACTTTTTTTTTTTTTGAAGAAGTTTTTGCCACAGGGCATGTGTGCTCACTGGAGAGACAGAGACAGTGAGAGGGAAAATGAGAAATCACCCCTGAGGGAAGATGGCTATGCTACAGTCTCTTCTCCATTCTTCTCCTGGGATCTTGAACATGCACATACACGAACCCAGCACAATTTTCAAGCCACTACATCTGGAACTCGAACCATAGTTAGCCATGTGGGAGTCCAATGCCGTAACAATTATACCATCTGCTGGCCCTTCACATTCCTATTTTTAAAAGACTCCCATATAGGGTCAGCAGGTGACACGGTGGTGAAGACACTGGACTCCCACATGGCCAACCACAGTTCAAGTCCTGGACCTGGTTGCTTCTCACTTTCCCTCTCTCTCTGTCTCTCTCTGGTAAGCGTGCATGCCCTATAGCAAATTAAAATAATAATAAAAACAATAAATAATTTTTTTTTTTAAAGAGCTCCCATATGAATCCTGTGTGCAGCCTGGGTTAAGAACTAGTGCTTTAATTGAAATGCAGGGGAATTCAGTGTTCCAGATTCCTCTTTGGCAATCTCTATGGCTCCTGACAATAATGTTTGTGACAAACCAAAATATCTCCAACATGAAGTGATATTATTGGGTCATCAGAAAAGTCAGGATGTATTTTTCTTTTTTTTTTTAATGCAAAAATGTGTCATAACTTTTCCAGCAGCCTAATAAAAGCACTTAAAAACCAGTATAGCCTGGGGCCAGCAGGTGGTATGGTGATGAAAGGTGCTGGATTCCCATATGGCCAACCATGGTTCAAGTCCCCGACCTGGTAGCTTGCTTTCTTGGTTTCCCTTTCTCTCTGTCTCTGTCTGATAAAATTAAAAATAATAATAACAAATGGAATTAAAATAAATAATTCTTTTTTTAAAAAAAAAAAGTATAGCCTAAAACAGAAAGCAGAATGGCTATAGGGCTAGCCCTGAGTCAAAACTCACTGCTGGCAGGGAAGGGAGTCCTCGAGGAGCAGGCAGAGACCTTGAGTGGAAACACACAGGGCAGCAGCTTTCACCAGTCAAGCAATATTCCACTGCATTTAACAATTGATACGTGCTAGCTGAATACCAACCTTCTCTCAAACTATCTCACAGAGTATAAGAAAAATTATTAAAATATTTACAGAATCCCAATTTACTGACACAGAAATATATATCACTACATTAGCAACCTAAAAAGTCAGTGCTATGTAATCCAAAGATAAGCAGGGGAAATAATTCCTAAGAGTTTGGGAACTGTTTTCTGAAATCAAAAATAGTATAATGTAGGCCAGTTAGGTAGCATAGAGGTTAAGGCAGCTAAATTCCATTTAGCCAACAACTATAGGACTGAATCCTGGACCCAGTGGTTTGTAAAATACAGTAGGCACACGTGAATGCGTAGGTAAATCCCAAGAAAAAAGTGAAAGAGAAGGGATTGCAGAATACTCATTTCCCCAGGGGGTGATTTCTCACTTTCCCTCACTCTTTCTGGCAAGCGCACATGCCCTATAGCAAATTTAAGAAAAAAAAAAAAGAGAGATTATAATGTGTGTATCCGCCAACCAGAGTCTTTTTTTTCCCCCAATTTTTAGATTGTTTGCCATAACACGCAAGCACACACTGAAGAGAGACAGAGAGGGAAAGTAAGAAATCACTCCCTTGGAGGATGGCCATAACACAATCCAATCTCATCCATTTTCCTCTCAGGATTTTGGGCACACATGCACCTTCCCTGAGTTTTTCAGGCTTCAGTTCCAGGATTCTAATTGCAGTCTGGCATGTGGGATCCAGCACCTTAACTACCACACCACCTAATGGCCAGCCACTGGGGTCTTTTTCACAGCTCTATGAACTGTGAAATTCTCTTCAAAAATGATTTCTTAATTTTTTGAAAGTCAGTTCTCAGAGCCAGCAGGTGGCATGGTGGTTAAGGTGCTAGACTCTCATGTGAATGATAACGGTTCTGGTCCTGGACCTGGTGGCTTGCTTTCTAACTTTCCCTTTCTCTCTCTTACTTTCTCTCTCTGGTCAAATTCAAAAACAACTAAACATTTTAAAAATGAAGTAATTCTTTTAAAAATTTTAAATCAACAAAAGAATAAAAAGACAGTTCTCTACATGTCCCACCAGCCACAGATAAGAAAAATGATACATACAGGCTGAGCTGCGACTATTGTTGTCTGAACTTGATTTGCCTGCTGAGCATGCAGCATGTCACCTGTCCTTCTTCATAAGCAACAGGCTATCTCTACACACATTCTTGGGACCAGCAGTTGGGATAATGGTTACATCGCTGGACTCTCACATAGTCAATGGCAGTTCGAGTACAGGACCCGGTGGCTTAAAATTCATGACTGGCACATGTGCATATGTGACCAAAATCCTGACAGGAGAATAGAAAAGAGACTGTGGTGTGGCCAGCACCCCCGGGGAAGTGGATTTCTCACTTTCTGTCTGTCTCTCTAGCGAGCACATGCACCCTGTAGCAACAATCTCTCTCTAAATAAAATTAAAAAAAAAAAAAAAAAAAAACAAGGGAACGGC